TATATATATATATATATAATTGATGAGTAATATTTTCAAAAATTTTAATTTACTAAAAGGCTACAAATTTATAATCAATTAAAATTATTAATTAAAAAATAGAATAAAAATATATTAAATTGTACGTAAATGATGTTTTAATATAAATAGTAAGATTTAAATCTCGCCTCAAACTCTAACATTCTATGACTGCGTGACTAGAGTTGCCAAAACGTCACGAGCAAACGAGCGAACATGAACACATTTTTTGTGTTCGAATTGTAAATGATCTGAACTTGAACAGTAATATTTTTTAACGAGCCGAACACAAATGAGCCTGAGCTTGCTCGTGTTCGTCTCGTTTACACCTCTAATTTGGTTCTTGTCTTCCACCATCTGAGCTAGCTCCATTATCTCACTGCGTTCCCACAGTCTTAATTGTCCGAGTCCTGTGTGTATATCAAGCTTTAGACCCTTCATGAAATTCTCCTCCAATGTTGCTTTAGAAATTCTCCTTAACTCTCCTGACAATAACTCAAATATCTCTCCATATTCCATGACAATCCCCTCCTGAGTTAAGACAAAGAATTGTTAATGTTGGTCTCCTTCCCGAATGACTCAAAAATGTTCCAACAAGCAATCCTTAAATTTCTTCCACGAGCAAATCAGACATTTAGCCTCCCTCCATTAAAACCATGCTAATGCTTTTCCCTCTAAACATAACCCTGCCGCCATGAGCTTCTCCTCTCCATTTAGCCCATTCATCATGAAATATCTCTCCACCTGGTACACCCACCCATGTGTGTCTTTTCCCTCAATGATCGTCATCTTCAACTTCCTAACCCTATCATGTTCACCCCAACTTCCCCCTATGGTATTTCCACCAATGTATCTAAGGTAAAATTTCATTCTTTGATCATAGCCTTACCCCATCTAGACTTCTCTCTTTCCTTTTTCGTGCTCCTCCATATCCCTTGCATGACTTGTTTCCCATATTTCCGCCTAACCACCATCATCAGAAATCTCTAATCCACACCCATCAGAGCCCTAGGAGGGGTTTCTTGATGGTGGATGCTTTCCTCATGTTCTTCTCGTCCGATCTCTTTCCCAATCATTTTTGCCAAGGATTATTCTGTTAACCCTTGGTTAGGGTTTATAAATTGGTCTATCGGCGGGGTCTTAGTTTGCATCTCAATAAGCCTTTTTCTCATCTCCTCCAAGCCCTCAAATCAGTTTTCAATTGAGGAAAATCTTTCGTCTATGGTTGAGAACCTTCTTGTATCCTGAATTTAAGTTGTCATAATTCTCCTTCCAATATCTCTTCCAAAGCATTCACTTTATTTGTTACCAACTCTCCAAAATCTCATGAGCGATCCAGTGGTTCACTTCCTAGTACTCAAATCGGGACTGTATCACGATTACATTCATGCTAGCTCATGCCCCGTTTGGGGCTACAACAGGGGAGCGGCGTGGTAGGGTGCCGTAGAAGAAAGGGTGTTTGGGGTGGCCTCAGAGCCGCGATGTGAGGAATTTAAGTGAAAACACGAGCTGCGTGTTCGACATTGTGACCCGCTTTTTTGCTCCGCTTGTTTACTTTGATGTCCTTCCGCCCTTCGTTTGCTCTAATTGTGATCCTTCGGTTTGTCTTCTTGGATTCGTCCGCACTATTCCTCTTCTCCGCTCTTCGTCTGTCCTCTTCCTCATCTTCTCAAGTTGCCTGGTTCCACTTCCTCCTCTGTTCCGATAGGATGTGATTTTCCTTACAGACGCACAATACATTTTTGTTGGATTTGTGATGCTAGATTTGTTACTTCATATGGATGTGTGGTATGGATGTGAATGTTGGATATTCATGGTGGCTCTATTTTCTGTTTGTTAAATTGTATAAAAAAAACATATGAGGATTTGGCTTGGGGATGTCAGCAATATGATGTTCGATATGTTTTATATTTGTTGTTGCTTTGGCAAATACTGTTCTGAATCAAATATATGTCTATTACAGTTCTGCTACAAACAACATTACTAAATAAGAACAGAATGATTATTTGTCTAGAAACATATGCTACAGAGTTGTTTTTAAACAGCTGCAACAAACAACCAGTCAGCTTCCCCGCAGCAGCTTCCTGGGCCAGCTAAGTTGCAGCTGAAAGGCTGAGAAACTGCAGCTGCCCCAAACAAACCCTCAATCATGACTGTATCATGTCACGAAGGTGACGTCACGAGACCTGTACGACGTGATTCTGTCGTTTTCTTTTGATAGCGAGAATTGATCCTATTGTATGTCGTGATTCTTTTGTAGGCTTCCTTGCTCCCTTGATTCATAATTGTTTCGCTAGGTTATGTCATGCCACAATCCCGTCGATATCAGTGCTAGCTCGAATTGTGAAAATTTCATGGAAACGCCGTAATTCCATCTTTTCTTCATGTAATCAAATTTCTCTGATATCAATTTGATACAAATCGGTGCCAAAATCATAAAACAAATTGCAAGAAACATGTGGAAATACCCAAATTAGGGCTAATTTGATTAATCTCCAAGCAAATGAATAAGACATACAAACAACACACCCAAATGCATAAAAGATAAGCACCTACAATTCGAGAGGTAGGTGATCTCTCCCAAACCCTAACCCCAGGACTCAAAACAACAATCTCATTATAACCCTATATTAGCCTTATTTATACCCCATAATAATAAATAATAAATAACTAAATTACCCTTAGATGCTGGCCTAACATTTAATTATAATTGGAGATGGTGATTTCCCTGTGAGAAGTGATGACAACCATCCAAAATGTGGAATTTACAGTTTGTTTGTTTATTTATTTAGGTTAATTTCACATGCAGGGGGGAACTAGTCAGGTGCATTAGTAACCCAGCATGCGCAGCAAATATTGCATGCCTCCAGACATGTAATGATCGGCCTGATGAGACTGAATGTCAGGTTTCTTTCTTTTCTTATTAATTTATTTTATCTTTTTGTACTTGGAATTGTGGCTTCACATATCCGTGATGTCTAGAGAATTTTACCAGTCAACATCTTTACTACCTTTCCATCTGCACAGATAAAGTGTGGTGACTTGTTTGAGAATAATGTGGTTGATGAGTTCAATGAGTGTGCGGTATCACGCAAGAAATGTGTTCCTATGAAGGGTGATGTTGGTGAATTTCCTGTACCCAGCCCATCTGCCCTTGTGAGAAACTTCAATATGTCAGATTTCAATGGGAAGTGGTACATAACAAGAGGCCTAAATCCAACTTTTGACACATTTGATTGCCAGTTGCATGAGTTCCATGTTGAATCTGGGAAACTCATTGGCAATATATCATGGAGGGTGCGAACTCCAGATGGTGGTTTTCTTGCTCGATCTACTCTACAGAGATTTGTGCAAGATCCTTCACAGCCTGGAATTCTCTACAATCATGACAATGAATACCTCCATTATCAAGATGACTGGTTTGTATCATATTTCATCTAGCTCCTTATTTATCCCTTTCTGCTTATATGCTGTATATATTTCCATGCATGCATGGTGTTATTTTTTTCAGTTTAAAGTGCCAAATTGTGTTGGTTAGCACATATACCATGGGGTTGACATGCCTAATGATTACATATTATTTTTAATGTATTTACATTAGTGAAACATAAGAATGGACTAGGGATAATGGTGAATATAGTATTTTTAATGTATTTAGATAAGTGAAACATAAGCATGGACTAGGGATAATGGTGGATATAGTATTTTCAATGTATTTAGATATAAGTGAAACATAAGAATGGACTGGGGATAATGGTGAATAGGGATTTTGACAGGCAAAGTCAACAAATTTGGTTTCTTATAGGGTGCTTCTGTTAAAGTTCTCATTTGTTTGCTTTTAGATATAAATTATATTTTAAGAAGTTATATAAGAGTCCATAAATAGATTCTTAAAAGGAGATTTAGCGGCTTAATGGGAAGGCTTAAAAAATTGTAAATGAAAAACTTTTACTATTAAAAACTGAAAAATAATTAGAGTCAATACATGTAATAATCACATTAAATGAAAAGATCTACCAAGAGGACAGTAAATGAAAGCAAAATTACAACTCTTGATTTTTTTTTTTAATTATAGGATAGACATATCCAAAAAAAAATGATATATATTAAGTATTTAAGGACAAAGAAGCTTTAGAGATTTTATTTAGCTAGGTACATTAATAGTAAGGAATATACAATGTTAGCTAAAGATGATTACATCTAAGAATTATGGAAACTATCTTGAAATTATTGAATGATAGTTTTAAGGAAATAGCTTCTTTTGTAGAAGAGCAAAATACTGACACCTACAACTTTTTTTTTACATTTATATAAAAAATGCATTCATTAGTCTAATTAGCTTTCAAGAAGATTCTTATAAATAAGTTTTAGGTTTAAATATGATAATTATTAAGATTCTTAAGACTTATGAAAAATATTGTGATATGATTTCAGCATCACAAATTTTTAGAGCTTTTCAGAACATTCTAAAAACTTCCAAGGCCTTCCCAAAATTTTCATAAGATTCCCAGGAGCTTCAAGTATGTGGGGCAAATAATTCTCGTTAGATTTACAAAGTGAAACCTTTCTTGCCTTCCAAATAGTGGACCTATAGTAAACTTGAATTTATTAGAAAAGGTATGAAAACTATAACCATGGAAAGCATTTCTGGCCAATCAAGCAGGGTTAGATTGCTTTTGAATTTCATTTTAATGGATTCTAGATCCGGTTAGGTTATTTCTAATGTTTTTACTACATTTAAGCAAGTTTGAGTTTGAGTTGTTTTAATTTTTTTTCCTTGGATTTTCTTCATCACTATTTAAATGCACCAAATGTGATCACTATGATGTAAGGAATGGTGAAATAAAAACATGGTTTGTAGATCCTAGGCCCTACCTGCCAGTCTCCTGATATAGGGATCAAATCATGAAGGTGAGCTTGATCCGACCATTGACTTAAACAAAATTTATAAGTAACTTTTCATTTGAGTGGATGGCGAGGCAGCTTCGGTGATGAGCAGAGGAGAGGAAGAAAGTGTCACGTCGAAACGCTCTCGCAACGTCATTGAGCTACGCAAGGGAGAAGCCTTGGCCAGCGAGGAGGAGGCCTAAGGGAGTATCGGCGTCGAGGTCGAGCAATGGAAAGGAACTTCGACTCCTCGAGCAGGATAGAGCCGACATCGGTGTCGTGCCGTGATTGGAGACGTTGAAGAGGAGGAAGTCGCAGAGGAGCTCTCGGGTGTGCAATTCAATGCTCGCGCGCAAAGAAGAGGAGCTGTCCAACGTGCAACCAAGCCGAGACATAGATTAGTCGGGCTCAAAGGAGAAAAATAGGAAGAGCGAATCCCTTTTGCATTGTTTGTGCAATTCAATGCTCGCGCGCAAAGAAGAGGAGCTGTCCAACGTGCAACCAAGCCGAGACATAGATTAGTCGGGCTCAAAGGAGAAAAATAGGAAGAGCGAATCCCTTTTGCATTGTTTGACAGAAAAGGTAAAAAGTGGTTCTTTTTTATTAAAGTGATATAATATATATATATATATATATATATATATAAGAGAAAGTAAGCCATATTAGATTGAGTATATTTAAAATTTATTAATGAAAAAGTAATATTTTATTAAAATAATAAATTAATTAAATATCATGTTTAGGTTAGGTTTCTAATTTAAAAGAATAGACTTCAAGGATAAATTAATCGACATTAACGTGAATACTCGAACTTTTAATCTATAATAATAATTTGTTTCTTCTCAAATATTTTGTCGTTGATAATATTTGTGCATGTTTTATGAGATACTCTTTTTTTTATTGGTCATATCATTACGAATGTTGTAGCTTCTTATTCTCATGCATTTGGTGCATGTTTTATATAGTGGGTTGAATTAAATGTGATGAATATATGAATGATATTTTTATGTTCATTGCTTGTATGTGCATTATTGAATGATTAAATCATCTCTTAATGGCACTAGTGAGAGAATATTAAGGTACCTGTGCACATAATTGCACACCCGAGAGAATATTAAGATTGTAATTAATATTGTTGTGTCTTAATTAATATAATTTTAGACGTTATTTTTGTGATGATTGTACAAATATAAAATGATATTGATATCGTAAGGTTATTTAAATAACATTAAATATTTTTATTATTTTATTAAAAGCTTGACTGATATGCATATCACTTTCTTTTCTCTTGCATTATTATGGTTCTTAAGTATGAGTATTCAGTGACTTGTTTAGCTCGCTATTATTTTTAAACCAACTTTTCAGATAAATTTAAGTCATTAAAAGATGAGCGATAGAAGGAGAAATATTTATTGAAGATATGGACAGTCTATAACGCGACAATTTTAATTGCTTTTATTCAATTTGATCAGCAACTTTTTCATTTTCTTAATTATATGCGAATATAAAAATTTAATTTCCATCGTCAGATTGTCTGTTCCCGTCTTGGTTAATTCCAAGCTCCTGACCAGATCGTGACATTAATTATGTTTGAGATTCAAAAATGCTAGCCTTTGCATAGAATACTAAATCCTAGTAAGGGGTTATTTACATACCTAACACTTGACATATTGTTATTTACAAATCTAGCATTTATCCTTTTTTTTTAATTCACTCAAATATGAAAATTCATGATAAAACTCAACCCATATTTTTTCATTTTATCAAATTGTCAATAATTTTATTGTGGTGCACATAAATACTCCGGTTTGATAGTCAAAAATATCACCCGGATGCTAAATTTTGTAAATAGCAATGTTTTGGGTGCTATGTATGTAGTTATCCTAAAAAGATATTGATGAGTTTTGAATTTGTTTTAGATAAGTTTTTTTATATTTAATGCTATATTATGATAAATTATTAATTTTTATTTTTAATGTTATTTAGTTATTTGATTAGAAGATTGCTTTTATTATTGGTTTTCTTTAGTAATTATTTTCTTTTATTATAGAATCAATTTAAGATGGAAAGGTTCTATTTTTAAAATTAATGGAATTAATTCAGGATTGATAAGGACTTCTTTTTTAAATAATTTATGTTATTCTTTTGTTTATCAATATGTTTCGAATTGTGCAATAAAATTTATTCTAGAATTCTCCGAATCCTCCTTCATTATAGCCTTTTCTCATTCTCTTTATTTCTCTAGAGTCCTCAATGGATGAGTAGTATAACAAACAACATTAAGTTCTCTTGTACCCTAGCAAATATTGCTTAGAACCGTAGTTGAAAGTTATGGTTTTCATTTTATATCCCTGTTTTCTAACAGTGAATGATATACTTTGATGCCGGAACTAAAAGGGAAATTAGTGGAAAGCACAAAAACAAAATTTCATTAATATTAATATAGGATTGCAATATGACTCGAACGGAAATAATAACAAACATCAACGACACAAACAAACATTCCTAAATGTATTACAATGAATGGTGGAGATTGGCGAGGTGGGTCGGGATGGCTAGCGGGGATGATGACGGTCACAGAGTGCTTGTGTAGGGACATCAAGTGGGAATTGTGCGGTTGGTCGACAACGGTAGTGGGTGGTTGGGAGGAGCTTGAACAGAGTTAGGAAGGCGGGATAACAGTAGTAATCTGTAGGAAATGGGATTGGTTTGGTGTCGAGGTGACAGAGGGAGAGTTCGATAGTTGAGGAGCGGAGAGGAGAGGGTTTAGTGAAGGTAGAAGGGAACAATACAATCACCACCTTGGAGAAGAATACAACCGAGCACCACCATCTCCTCAGATACAACCCACAAAGGGAAAATGAACTCCACATAGGAGGTCTTAAAAAACAATATGAACTGACTCATTACATACCTAGGATAGCAATTTATAGGCTCCTTTCAGGCAAATGAAGCTTTTACACAAAGGAAGAGAGTGAGAAGCCTAGATAAATCCAAAAAGCACTTCCTAGAACAGTAGATTTGTGATGCCACAAGATGAATCACGCTAGATCCATCCAGTCTTCACGCGTGATCTCCCACTCTCCGGAAACCTTGCTAGAAATCGTGATCCCAATCTTGCTTTTGTGCCCTCTCGCCTCTGCAATACTAGGCGGGCCGATCCCGCCTTTGAATTGCTCGAATTAGCTCCTATCGGGCGATGTTTAGTGCTCGTAACCGGGCGATGTTTAGTGCTCGTAACCGGGCGACGTTCAGTGCTCGTAATAGGGCGATGTTCAGCCCCGAACCGAGCATTGTTTTAGTGCCCATATCGGGCATGGTTAACAATCGTGTCATACTTAAAACTATATTATTTTTAAATTAAAATATAAGGCAGCGTCATAAGTTTTACTTTGCATGTTGATTCTCCACATAATAAGTGTTTGGGTCTTCAAGACTTGTATTTGAGAGTAATTTTAAATTCTTTTCTCATTATCTAATGGAAAACTCATCATCTTGGATTTGTGAATTAGATATTCAACGATAAAATTCT